AGCAGATATTCTAACAAAACCCCTAGCTAAAGAAAAATTCAGAAGATTTCTTATAATAATGAACTTGATGAGCATTCAAGAAAACGGCCAGAAAGAAAGAAATTAAAAATAAAAGTGGGAGTATTAGAATTATATATTTCATATTTTTATGTAGTTAGCTGTTGTTAGTTGTCAATAAAAAAATATATACTTGTCACGTTTACTTAAAAAAAAAGGATCGTCTACTTTGGAATATATAATAGTATATAAAACCGTGCTGGCTATAGCTTTTTCTTTATTCTCCATCCAGCTTGCAAAACCCACCTTCTGCCTATAGGTAACATATCATCACCAATAGTGTAATAATTTATTCTAACTCTTCCACCAGCATACGAAGGGATATCTTTGCTTTATCACCTATACACGAAGTGAAAGAAAAATATATGGTTTCGCCTATCTTTTAAAATTTTTAACACATTCGCTACCCAAAACGCGCCAGGCGCGTTTTTTAAAATTTTGCTGTGCCCAGACCGTACCGCGTGTGTTCGTTGCAGGCATGATTTTCAAGGCCTGTAATTAAAATGGTACGGAGTTTACTCCGCTCAATCTTAGGTAGCGCGTTTGACACATGTTCAGCAATAGCGCCGCAGTGTTGGTTCGTTACTGACGTATTTTTTGTTGCTCAGGTGTACTTCTTAACCTTAAAATAAATTTAACTGTGTTTGCAACCATTTCGTTAGTAAGTACATTATTTTGTATGTTGTTAGTTCATTAAAAAACGTTATATACACATGATATTACAGTTTTTTCATAATTTGCACGTGCTGCAAGTTGTAGGGGCTGTTTTTATTCTATATGAACCAACAACCTGGGCAATCTAGAATGGATGAACCACCCAAAAAACGGAATAGATATGACCCATATAAAGAAAAAGTTTTGGCGAAGAAGGAGCTACAAGAGGAGCTGCGTGCCATTTTGCAGAAAGCTGCAGGCGAAGATAAACCGTTTCCTAACGACAGTGTCATTGTAGAGGAAGATGAAGACGAGGAAGATCGGTTTCTTAACGAAAGCGAGGACGATCCAGATTATGTGGATGAAAGTGAAACTAACAGCGATTCAGACGACGATGAAATACTTGCAACAGCTTCCAGGCGGATCTCACCGACAACTCCCGTGCCGTCTTCCGCTGCACCAGCTTTTAGAAAACAAAACGTATGTTACTGAAACCCTTAGACTGAATCGTAAATGCAATCCATCTGAAGTGAAGTGAAGTGAAAAACTTAAAAAAGGAGAACTAATTATTATGTATAATGAAAAAGGTATCTGCTTGTTGAAATGAAAGGACAGGAGAGAAATTTTGGCAATTTCTAGTGAATATGGTGGCCAGCTACAAGAACTCACAACTCGGCGAAACCAAGTGAAGCAGAAACCTGAACTTATAAACAGATACAACTAGTTTATGTCAGGTGTAGACCACGGCGACCAAATAATGGCATATTACTCCTGCGAGCATAAAACAATTATTTGATACAAAAAGTTAGGAATCCATGTTTTCCAGATGATGCTGGTTGCCTCCCATCATCTACATGGGCGTCGTTACACAATTCTATAGGGGGGGGGGCAAAATTTTGAAAAAATTTAGTATGTTTATTGAAAAACAAACAAAATGAAACATAAAAGAGAATTTTCTTATGATGGATTTAATTATTCTGTGACGTTATGGCTTACTTCCGGTTTTTCCAGAAATAACAGAAAATCGCAATTTATTTTTTATTTTTAAATGAAAACCCTTTTTCTTATTGAAAATTTGAATTTCTGGTACATTTTTGTATAAGAAGCGTGTATTGAAAATGTTTTCAGTACCATATTAAAAAAAATATGTTCCAATATGATGATCATTTTGACAGCTGACAAAAAATTTTCAACACATGATTCTTATCCATAAATGTCCCTAAAATTTAACTGTTCAATAAAAACGGGGGTTTCTATTTAAAAATTAAAAATAAATTGAGATTTTGTTATTTCTGATGAAACAGAAGTAAGCCATGAAGTCACACACCAATTGAATCCAGTATATGAGAGTATTTGTCCAAAACTTTTAAACAAATAAGTTTTCATTCCAGTATCTCAATTAACAACGAAGATAAAAGCGGATAGAATTATTAAACGGTTTGCTAATAATAAAAATGCTTAGATACGCCACTAGTATACGGGAAATGGGTCTCAATGGGAATTTTGAAACCTAAAAAGATTTTATAAAGTTCGTATATTCCTATATGTTTTTCCATAAACGAATTAATAGTAACATATTTAGAAAAAATATTATCCAATATGGCGACCATTTTGACAGCTGACAGAAAATTGTCAATAAACGATTATTATACAAAAATGTCCCAAAAATTTAAATTTGCAATAAAAAAGAGGGTTTCCTTTTAAAAATAAAAAAAATCTGTTATTTCCGGAAAAATCGGAAGTAAGCCATGACGTCACAGAACAATTGAATCCATCATAAGAAAGTCTTTCAAACAGTACAAAATTAATCCGATATCTCACTGAATAGCGAAGCTAAGGGGGAGTGGAACTGTAGTAGTAACGCTAACAATGTCACTGACCTATTTGACAGAACTGATACTTAAGTTGTCATAACAAGTCTCTAATAAATAAAATAATCCAACAAAAAAAAAAGACAAAATAAAAGTGTATGGATTTATAAAACAAGTGAAAAAATTATTAATATTATTATATATTTTTATTACTTGAGCTAAAAAGGTAGTATAATCAATAAAAATCAATAATTAAACATAGGTAGGTATTTACGAGAAAATGTATGAGATCTTGCCTAAGCCTAATAAGTTATCATTGAAGAATAGGTTAAATAATGTCAAAATAAAAACACTATTATTATATAATAACGTAGAATTGAAACGTATTAACAAAAATAATTGGCATATTTTTAGTTCGAAAGAACCCATAGAAATTAATGATTAAAACTGGTTTCCTATCAATAAGTCATAAGATTGCATTTCAGCCATAAACAATAATTAAAGGCAGAAATCTAATCATTTGCTAAACATTTAAGACTTAAGAGATGTTGAAGAATATCATAAAATAAAAATTTATTGTTTATTTAAAACCTTTTCTGATGTCTATTATTTCCAATATTACTGTTATTATTACAAAAATTAAGGTTTTTTTCTTCTTCTTATTATACAGCTGTCTATTTATTTTTTTGATTTAATTTCGATTTTGCTACTGAAAATTTATATAATTTTTTAATGTCTGGATAAAATTCACAATGTTTGGATGCTATATCATTAATGAAAAGCTCATTGTGTGTAGAAAGCTCTTTCGTACTCCAGTTTGGTATTCAGCTTCAAAATTGTCGATTCCAAATTTTTCCACTACTTTCATTTTCTAATCGGTAGTGAAAAAAGTATGTTTTTATGCTTTTGGGATGCAACAGGCTTAAGGAAAATTAACAGTCTTCGGAAAAGCGTGATGTAAGCGACGTAATAAGGGAATCCAGATATCGTCGGCCTAAGATGCAAATGGCCTAACTCCACTTTTTACCAAAGGTACGTTTTATTGGCTACCCGGTAGTTAAAGATCTGTACTGTCGATTCGAAATGACCTGCCAAGCCTATTTTAAATATTCGCGCCAAAATTTACATGACTCATTTTGTATAACCCCTTTACATTAAGATTAGGTCTAAAAGATTTTTTGCGTTTCCTGAAAAATTTATATATTAGGAGTTAGGCCATTTGCATCTTAGACCGAAGATATTCAATAAATATATTCAACCTATAATATTCTTCAACTATATTAGCCTTAATATTATTATTTCTATATGAGATTGTTGTTCGTATGTATAATCTTACGCATTTTTGATTAAGTCGCTAAAAGCCAGGGGGGGGCAGCTGCCCCCCCTTGCCCCCCCCCAAACGACGCCCATGATCATCTATATAAAGAAGCTATCAATAAACAAACTGATTTGCATGAAGATAGGCTGCCAGTTATTGAAAATTGGTTGGGTCCATTTCCACAACCATTTCCACAACCAGTTCAAAAATTAAAAATTTTTCATTTACCTGAAATATGCGAAAAGGTTGCCAACGGTAAAACCAAAAGACGTCTCTGCCAAGTGTGTTGGAATACGAACAAGCAAAGGAAAGATTCCATTTATTGTTGCCCAATAATACCATAAAAACTTGGACTGTGTTTGACCCCTTGTTTCAAGGTTTTTCACGTGAACATGTAATATTTTTCTGGAGTTTGAATAGTTCCTACTTTTATTTTATAGTATTACAATGAAGTTTTATATTTTGTGTTACTTATTTTTAGAAATTTTATGTTTTTGTTGATTACTTCATGCAATATTTTACTATTTTTAATAAAATGTTTGTTTTAGAAGGATTTTTTTGTTTTTTCTGGTGGTACACGCCTGGCGCGTTCAGTGGCACAGAAGGTGAGAAAGTGCATGCCCCGTGCCCACACAGCACTAGAAGCGTTTTTGTTTTTTTTTTTTTTTTGTAAAAAAAGGTTAGCTATAATCACTTTCTAACTTAGGTCATATATATTTTTTAGTTTTAATAAAAAAAAGAGTGGCACGTAGGGTACTGCACGGTATTTTCCGGGCAGCGAATGTGTTAAATTGTTTGCTTTGTCCTTCGAATTATAAATTATAATATTGACTGCACCAGAAGATGGAAAAACTCTATTTTCCGAAACATATGTAGCGTTTTATATATAAAAACCTGTTTATGACCGATTTAACCAAAGAACTTTAATTTATATAAAATTCAACTACTATCTTTGTTTTAACTTCATTTTTAAATATGCATAAGTGGCGTTACCCGTTCACTCAGACACATCTTTTGAACCATGCAATGCTCCTTCTTTGTTTTGGCTGATGATCTCAGTCTTTCAAGGTATATATTAAAATAATTTTTTACTAGTATATCCTCTCTGTTTATTTTTTGGAAGTTGAACTACATTCAAAAAAATATTCCTCTTCTTCCAGAAATTAGTAAGTGAAGTAATGGGAGTCCCGCAGAGCAAAATCATTACCAAAGTAAAGAGGTTAGGTGGGGGATTTGGAGGAAAGGAATCCAAAGGTGCGATGCTCGCTATTCCCCTAGCGGTGGCGGCTAGGAAGATGAATCGACCAATTAGAATCATGCTAGATAGAGACGAAGATATTTGTATGACAGGAGCCAGACATCCATTTTATTTTAAGTACAAAATAGCTTTCGAGGACAGCGGGAAAATGTTGGCCTGTGAAGCGGATTTATATAGTAATTGCGGATACGCATATGATCTTTCAATGGCGGTAAGTATACTTTTTTAGAGGACAAAAGCATAATTTAAATCATTGATTAGTAAATAAAAAGTTGGGTTTATAAAATTAAAGAGTTAATGCTTCATCCGAGAACCTTGTGGCACCGTAACTTTAGAATTTAAAAATAAACCTACATATTAATATTTACTCCTGAATGCTTTCAGTTAGATTGGATCCATTTTAATAGATGGTTTAATTAAATAAATTCGAGTCACGTGGAAAATGTTTATCCAAATTATGTATACTCTTTCAATATTTCCTGGTTATGTATTCTTGAATCTGATGGCAACATGATAAAGAAAAACAAATTCTGTACCTATTTTCTATTCTTATTCAAAAATAGCTGGACTACACTTTGGTGTAATACATCTTTTATCATATTCTTTAGGTCATGGATAGAGCAGTAACGCATTTCGAAAATGCCTACTACATCCCAGCAGTCAGTTTGAGAGGGATTCTTTGCAAAACGAATTTACCATCCAATACGGCTTTCAGAGGCTTTGGAGCACCGCAAGGAATGTTCTTAGCTGAAACCATGGCACATCATATCGCTGATTATCTCAAAAAAGAACCGGAAGAAATTAGTGAGCTAAATTTGTATAGAAACGGTGATATTACTTATTATAATCTACGAATGGAAGACTGTACTTTGGATAAATGTTGGAATGAATGCATGCAATCTTCAGATTTCGCTAACAGGAAGAAGATGGTTAGGGAGTTTAATAGGTTTGTAACTAAAGATAAATATTTTAATTAGGTAATATAATTTCATGTTAGAAACTAGATCAGTATCTTCCATGATTTGTTTAATATCTCTTGCTCTTTCGCTTTTACTATCTAGGTCGCTATCTAGGGTGCCCATGAGAAAAATAGTTATTTATGAACCAAAAGTGTAATTTATACTCACAAGCCGAGATGTATATTATGATATTTTTCGTGCTACTGCTACTAGCAATATTACAACTTTTAGGAACATTAATTTAAAATTAAAAACGAACACATATATCAACTGATATTTAATTGGTTAAAAGTGTTATTGCACTCACACATTCTAGTTAACGAACAGTGCTAATTCGTGAATTGGTTAACTTACTGTGTTATATCAAGCTGGGAGAAACTTTGAGAATACTTTGGTGTTCATTCAAATAACTTATCTACAGTTATTCACCCTGTTCTTCCAAAATCTATTCCCCACATTACAAATTTTAAAATGTCCAGGTATTATTGTACTACTCTAACAAGGATGAAACTGAATCATAGTGATTTTCCGACACATCTTTCCAGAATTGGTATTAATATTTCACCTTTCCGACAATGCGACAATTCTTCTTTTGCTGATATTAATCACCTAATTTTTTTCTTGTAACCACTATTTCTTTCATCGTTCAGATATCCTTAAAAAACTTTCTTCCCTATCGCGCGTGTTTTAAAGGCCTTATTATCCACTTATACTTTAATATACTATATCCGTGTTTAGCCTAGTTTGCACATTCTCCTCTGTGGCCAGCTTCTGAAACAATAAAGTTTGTCTTATACTCCTAGTATCACAATATAATATTTTATTATAAAGCGTTAGAACAGTAAATAAGTAGAAATATCCTAGTCAAATATGATTCCTGTAGAATTTCGTACCTGATATAAAATGAAATATTAATTTTACTAATTTATCTTTTCAGACTAAACAAGTACAAAAAACGAGGCATCAGCGTAATCCCGACCAAATTCGGCATAGGTTTTACGGTACCATTTTTGAACCAAGGTGGCGCCCTGGTTCTTATTTACACAGACGGAAGCGTTCTATTAACCCATGGCGGTATCGAAATGGGTCAAGGTCTCCATACAAAAATGATACAAGTTGCTAGCAGAGCTTTGGAAGTTTCTGTCGATAAAATTCATACAAGCGAAATAGCTACTGATAAAGTGCCCAATACTTCGGCGACGGCAGCCAGCGCTGGATCTGACTTGAATGGAATGGCAGTACTGGTAAGATTGCTTATGTAAAGTATAGTTTTTCAGAAGATCGTTAAATATTTTATTTTTGAACAAAGTGTTTTTACATTTTTCGAAAAAAAAAACGTGTAATTTTAATCGTGCAATAGTCCATAAAACGTTTATATATTATTATCTTGATTTGTTTGGAAATAATTCCGATAAAGCAGCTCTGGAGAAGTTCCAGAAATATAAAATTAATCATCAGTTAATAAACTCTTTACTTCTTAAATATAGTTTGAGTTTTCGAAAACAACAATTTAATTTCTATTAATAAGTGTGATTTGTTAGATTATAAATGAAACTACCTTGTTGGAGTCAAGATGAAGATTGACTTTATGATACATATATTACAATAAGTTTTTATATTTAAGCAACAAATTTTAATAAGAATTTCAAGGAATCACTTTTTTGTGAATTAAAATAATCGTGAAAAATAGTACCTATACATCATAGAAAAAGCCTGGACTCAATCTTTAAATTCGTCTGGGAAAGTTAAGACATTTACTCCTCGGTATAGAATGTACTAATTATTTAAATATTCCCTAAACAGTCATTATTTTGGTTTATTTAAACTCGAACAAATAAACGACTCTACAATACTCTACATATTAGACAGGTTTTTGGTTAGTTATAATAAACGGCATTAGTTACTTTAATATTTAATATTTTAATTTCTTTAAAACCATTTTTGAAAACTATTTTATATCAGTTTTTAAAGAACTTTATCCTTATTTCTAAAACTATTATTTCGTCGTATTCAACGACTTTATAATAATTTTATCGTTTTTACTTAAATTCTAATTAATTTTTCAATAATGTTCAAATATCCGTTATTTTTAGAACGCATGTCACACTTTAAAAGAGAGACTGAGGCCGATAAAAGAAAAAAATCCAAATGGAACGTGGGAAGAGTGGATATTAGCAGCTTACCAAGACCGTATTAGTTTAGCAGCTACTGGTTATTACAAAACACCTGACATTGGATACAATTGGGAATCTGGAGAGGGTAGACTATTCAATTATTTTACATTCGGAACAGCTTGTACGGAAGTTGAAATTGATACACTAACTGGAGACCATCAGGTTTTGAAGACGGACATTGTGATGGATTTAGGTAAATAACATTTATTTATTATATTAGTAGCGGTTTGTCCCCGGCTTTTTTGGACCACCCAAAACAACACAATCCTTTATGTTTTACCGTATTTTTTTTTCGTAACTTAAAAACCATAAAATACGTTTTTCTATATGATCAAAAAACAACGTGAGATAGTATACTTAAGGCCACAGATCTTTCAAAAAACAACATGAGTTCGATCAATTATAACTACCCAGATAGTACACGTCAATCCATTGGATGTCCATTTGAAGTCCAATTAACCGAAGGACATCCAATGGACATCCATTAGGCTATACAAATGTCCCACTCCTGGACGTCCATTTGAACTCCATGAAAGGCCCATATATGAACTCTTTTTGAAAAGTTTTTGGATAATTTATGGACATCTGATGGACGTCACGACCTTCATTAATAGGAAATAAAATAATTGCAACTATGGACATATTTTTATTGTCAAGCATGTATTGGTTTTAAACGCACTTCTTCCTGTCGACCTTCTCAGCCATTTTCTTATGGTTATTTCGCTTGCTTTTTAAGCAACACTTCTGTCGCTCTAAGCAGCAGCTAAAACATTTATTTCAATGACATGCAATTTGAATAGTAGCGAGGCTTTGCTCTGACTCTCGCGTTTTTTCTAATTGCAATGATTTATACCCTTACGGCCATTGCGCTTCAACGTTATTCTACTTCAGCCTACTACCCTCACTAGGCCTTTTACTTCTTCAGTTCTTCATGTCACCAGGAGTTAGGTTGGATAACTTTTCGCACATGACACTTAGGTCGTTTTGAAATATTAGCTCTCTTCAATGGCATCTTCTTCGTCTCTTAAATACTAGGCAAATTTGTTAGGTTAGACATCCTTCTACATACCTCCTTCTCCTAAGCCATCCCTTTCTTTCTCTTCTCTCTTTACTTCTTCAACACATCTCGGCTCGTTGTTACAATTACAAGCTTCTTTTCGTTCTCTTCTCTTATGCTATCATCCAGTTCTTCATGTCGCCAGGCGCAGGCCACTGCGCAGGATTTAGTAACGGTCATCGTATACGGTGGCCGCCATCACAAAGCACATAGAGGTTCCACGTGAATGACCAAGGTCAAAACCGACAACTGACATTTTTTATGCTATTTGCTCCAAACTCTAGATGGGGCTACTGGTAAAATTCTGATTTCTTACTCCATTTTTACGCTTTATGGGAGAAAAACTTAACCAAAGACTCCAAAGATGTGACGTATTTATTTATGTTTTTGGTTAATCTCATTTTTCCGTCTGACTTTAGTGATTTTTTGTTGGCTTTGGCTTTTGGTTTCTGTTTATAGTTTCGTCTTAGATATTTGCAAAATTGTGATGTTTTGTTTTTCTATTTCCTACTGTGTTTTGCAATAATTTTGGTGCTACCTGTGGGTGCTACGTTGAAAACTTCGAGAAAAACTTCATTGATTCACCATGCATCTGCATCATAAAAAGACAAACGGGTATAACAACTAATTGATAATCAATTTATCACTGGACTAGATTCCGAAATAATTTTTCACATAAGAGAGTAATACACAAAGCAGTGGAGTAATACCACCATCTGTATTTGGAAGGAAAATACCTATTTATCATTGAATGAATAGTTAAAAGGATTCACCTTTTAATACAATACCTATATTACATTTGTCCTCGGTTTAAAAGAAATTTATAAAATATATTATTTTAGTGTTAATAAAATGTAATATCCTAGTCTCTACTTCACATTTAAATTATTGATAGGTATTTTAAAGATTTGAGATTGTATACCTATTTGCTGCAAGTAAGTATTCGTTAAATATGTATTAATTATTTGTATTTATTTTTATCTAATAATATTTATTTAAGTTATTAATAAACATATTTTAAGAATGTTCTATTTTATTATTTATTGATATATCTTATATTTATTTAATAATAATATGCAGAACCAACTCTCCACATCAGACCCCTGCTTATAACAAATTAATTCCTCAAATTTGGTATAATCGACCTAAATTATTTTGTAAAATAAAAGTTTCGAACTTACTAGTTCCATTCTTTTTTTTATAAAATAATTTATGTGGAAATCATTTAAAATTTAATTTAAAACTACTACCTACTCCTATAAATTACAATTTGAATTTACCGCCATCTGTCAATTGTCATTTTAGTTCCAGCTCCAAACACAAGGTGGCGCTAATTTGGTTTAAAAGTTTAACATTGGCGTGGGGTCTCTAGAAGATACGTGCTTTGTGGCCGCCATCTTGGGTCGCTTAGTCGTGTCGCAAACCTAATAGGTGGCAGGTTGGCAATACTGAATGGTTGGCAACACTGTTAACAGATGACATGACACGTAACATATGTCGCGCATGTGCAGTTTAAAAAGTGTACCCAATACTTTCATTAACTACTGACAACTCGTTTGAAAGTTATTTTAATTCTGTATCTAACAGTATATTCATTTTTCATTCCCACTTAACGTTAGGGAAGATATGGGCATTATAGCATGACCTTGTTTCTGTACTTTCACCTCACTTACGTAAGTTTAAAATGGACGTGATATTAAATGCTGTAATCACAACCAAGTATTGCATGAACTACTGAGATGAAAGTACAGAAACAATGTCAAGATTTAAATGTATAGGGTGTTCCGAAATTAAACTGTCATATTTTAACAGTGTACTCTAAATCCTAAAATATAAGGAAAGTTCATATAAACATAGGTTCGAAAACATTTTCGAGATACAGGGTGTTACGAGTGAAGTCCTAATGGCACATTTTTGTAAATATTTTCTAAAATTTCTTTAGTCACCATTTTTCGAAAGTTAAAAAATTCCACAGGCCTACTAATTATTAAACAAAATCGAAAATAAGCAAACTCAAATGTGATCAAGACGTAAAATAAAATAAATAAAACTAAAAACAAAATCACATAATTATTAGAGACCGTTTCCCTTCAGAAAACAACTACTCCTTTTACTAATACCGCAACAGGTATTGAATTTGGTTTTTTGTTCCACCTAGTTTTATAACTGTGTACTACAGTGCCCTTTGATTTTGCTTACTAGGAACAGATGGCGACACCATTTCACTACTTGAATTTCTATTCTCTTCGTAACTAACTTTATTGTATACTGGCGAAATGTATAGCATTTGTTAATTCCTTTAGAGAGTGGAATTGAGAACCTATCTATTTCTTGCTGAAGAGTCCCAATAAGGACGAAACTGGTCGAAGAATGATGTTCTCCTTAGTGAACAAAATCAAAGGTAGAGTGAAATCTAATTTCTATCTCTGCTGTCTTTCCTTCGGATATAATTCAATACCTGTTGCGGTATTAGCCAAAGGAGTAGTTGTTTTCTAAAGGGAAATGGTCGCTAATAATTATGTGACATTGGCTTTAGTTTTATTTATTTTATTTTACTAATTATTGTTTACACTTTCGAATAAGATAACATCAACTTACAATTAAATTTTCAAATGTTTTTCTGTTGAAAATGGTGCGTCCTACCGAGATACAACATAAGTAGCTTTATTATAAAGAAAATATTGGTTTTTCAAAGTTTGTAGTCAAAAATGTTAAAAACAGTTAACAAAAAAAACTTGAGGCCATTTAACCCTAAGCCCCTCCCCTAATTTACCCACCTGTGAAGATGATCAAAAACTGGCGTTTAGTCCATTAAATAGAGCGTAAAGAAGTTTAGCATTTGTACCAAATTTCACTTAGTTATCTTTAAAAGTTTAGAAAATATCTACAAAAATGTGTCATCAGGACTTCACCCTGTATCTCGGAAACAAAACGTTTTCGTACCTTTATTTATATAAACTTTTACTCCTATTTTAGGACGTAGATTACGCTGTTAAAACATGATTGTCTAATTACGGGACACCCTGTATAGTGTTGGATACATAATTAAAATACCTTTTAAACCTACTTCCCAATTAATTTTTTCCCAAATGACGTCATTATTGTGTAGATGACGTCATAAGGAAAACAAGAATTGTAAAAAGTAGTACTTATGGTACCTACCATAGAAGTGTGCGAAATCTGGTTGAAAAAGATTGATCCGTTCAAAACATAATAGGAGGGGGACTATTTACATCCGCACCGTATTTATTATACAGAGTGGCCCAAAAGTCTGGAAACGGCCAATTATTTTGTAAATTGCTAGTCCTAATTATTGTACAAAATTTGGGGTACACCTATTTTGGGGTACGGAGATTCCAGATTTGATATTTGCAATGTTGCCAGATTTTCTGTTTCTCTTATATTATTAGTCATTTTGGTTTTTCATATTGATCACCCTGTATATTAAGTCATTATTGGAATCTCCTATTCAATACCAGTTCAACCATATGTAACACTTATGATTTCATGTAGTCTAGAAATTATATTATGCTCAATATACTAATTCAATATTTAATAATAATAATAATAATAATAATAATAATAATAATAATAATAATAATAATAATAATAATAGTTGACTTGAAAAACTGAAAATAATTATATCCCCCAAGTTTACTAAATTAAACAAATATACGTATTTTATTGAAAAACTAATGCACATTTTTCTGTAAAACTTGTAAAAAAACTAACCTTTTGAGTAATGAATTTTTTTGAACTTTCTTTCGGCTACGTCTCTTTTCACTACAAAACAAACGTTTTTCTTCATCAACTCCCTTCGTTTGTATTATTCCCATAATTACAAAATCACATAAAAACACTGAAGTGCCAAAAATGAACGGAATCAGTACGTAAAACCAAAATTTATAATAGAATAAATAAATGTCTACCACAATCGTGTCAAAATCCCAAAAACAAATAAAAATAAAATCTTTCTGTAGGCTGGACCGCACGACTATGATGTTACTGGCGAACGGTCGCTTCGCAACTAACTCACTTCCAATGGACATCCAAATGAAGTTCATGGACATCCAGGACATTATTTGAACAAAATATGGATGTCCAATGGACGTCGTGTGCTGTCTGGGCTGTTTGCT